TTCCCTCTCTTGCTACCAGCTGAAGTGAACACCATCAACGAGAGCACTGAAATCCTTCACTTGAGCCCTTCTGTCACAACTGAATATGTGGGTGAGAAGTCAGAGAAGAAGGCTGAGTTCTGTGACCGCTCCTGTGAAGAACTGGGGACAATGTTCACAGAGCTCACCGGCCTGCGCATCGTGGTGAACAACTTAGCTGATAACCTCCAAAAAGTGGTAGGTAACTGTAAATCTGAAGAACTGGAAGAGATCTGCTATGCAGTGCTCTTTCCTCATTTGTTTTATACCAGAGGCAGTTAATAGGGATTTCTGTATGTACATGTGTATGGCTGTTGGTACATCTACATAATGTGGAGATGATCTGTGTTTTCAAAGTGACTAGTTAGGTAGTTGTTGAGTATAACCCTTTAATGAAGGCTTGGTTTTCTTAGACTGGGTTTAAAAGAGCACGCACACATGCACTCATACACAGGGTAAATCAATCCTCTTAAAGGTTACTGCAGGTTTGGAAATTGAAAGCTTGCAAACCCAACCTTGCATATGTACTGTTAAAGTGTTGTTACCTTGCTTATACCATTTATGAATACATCAGCAAGTGACTACAAAGGGTACCTAAACTGTAGGTAAATGTGTGGGATTTTCATGGCTGAAGTATGATGGTGACATTTTACTGAAGTCTGCCCCTCTTCTTATTCCGAATCAGTTAATTCTTTCTGAGGGCAGTTTATTACTATGCCACATGTCTCAGCACTAAAAGCTTCCCATCTAAGGATGAGCTGTACTAGAGGAAAGCAAAACTGATAAGAACAGATGTCTGTTAGCATTGTATGACTGTGTTTGTACTATCATCTGAAGAATTGCTATGCAGTATTGCGGTAGCTGAGATCATCATCTTTTTGTATATAAATATGTAAAAATATACTTTTTTTTAATGGAAGAATTAAATCCAGTAGTATCTCAGTTTTGTTTATTTAAAACTGTTTGCTTAAAGTACGTGATTTGTTTTAACTTACTTCATCTTCTAGTCTGAAGAGAACCAAATTATGTGGGAATTGATTGGACCTAACAAAACCCTGAAGAACCAGTCAGTTTGCTGGCAGGATGGCCGTGTGTTTGCAGATAATGAAAGCTGGATTGTAGATAGCTGTACCAAGTGCACCTGCCAGGTAAGGTTTTGGAAACGCTCTTCTCTGCAGAAATCGATAGTGGGTTTAATCAAGCTCAACTGTCTAGGTCGGGTCACATTGACTCAAAGCTTGGCCTCGACTTTTTGATATTTATAAAAAGTAGTCCCCATATCCATGACAGTTTGATCAAATCAAAGAATTTCCACACATGAAACTTCCCCAGATGCACACCTTTACTTGCCTCTGTATGTGAGCATAAGTCAGTAAGTCGATTTCTTTGCCTGTAGGATTCTAAAATTGTGTGCCATCAAATCACCTGCCCAGCAGTCTCCTGTGCTGATCCATCTTTTGTCGAAGGTGAATGCTGTCCAGTCTGCTCTCATTGTGAGTATTTAGCCAAAGAGAAAGATATTTCTTGGCAATATTTGAAATCACTACTAGTGTATTGGAAAGGTCAAACAGAGTAAAAGATCAAGGCAGGTAAGATCAAATGTAAAACTTACATGTGTACAAACACACTGCACACAAGTTCATGAAGATCCAGGATTCTTACCTGGGCTAACCTCTCATTACATTAAACCATAATTCCCTAACTTCAGTGGCAGCTTGGGAAAGCAAAATTAGAAAAAGAGAGAGCTAAAGGGTGAAGTACATGTTCTACAGAAAGAGAGAAGTGAAAATCTTCTGAATAGGATAACAGAGAGACTTTGAATGCTAAGCACTTTTTCTTACCTTTTGCTCTGCAGCTGATGACAGTGAGGAAGGCTGGTCACCATGGTCCGACTGGACAAAGTGCTCAGTTACTTGTGGTTCTGGGACTCAGATGAGAGGAAGGTCGTGTGATGTCACCAGGAGTGCTTGTACAGGCCCACACATCCAGACAAGGATGTGCAGCTTTAAAAAATGTGACCATCGCAGTAAGTAATGAAGTTTATCCCTTTTTTAAAGCTTTGAACATTGCTAAGCAAAAACAAGCTTGGTCTGTATTTTCTATGAATACTCAGTGGTCAGGACAGTATGTATTTGAACACTCATATATGCATAACTAAAGTAGCTATCATTAGGTTCTTTGTCATCTTCCCCCTTCACATATGTTTCCTGACAATTTAATGGGTATGTGCATTCTGGGCTTGACTGTTAAACAAAAAGATAGTAGGTGATGTGTTTAACATTATAAACTGGAGTCCTTTGAGGTCAGTTTGGAGACAACGCTGTTCATAATCATGATACAAGGGGCCACGTTTTGATCTGCCATTAATTCACAATTATTGGCCCATTCCATTAGCTTAGCAGTGTTTAGGAATACAGTTATCACAGAAGACTTTTGCAAAATATCGAACTGCTTTTATATTTAAGGCACTTAGAAGGATCATACTCTGTCTCCAGAACTGTAGTTAATACTATGGCAGGTAGCTGCTGTATCCAGTAGCACCTAAGGCTATTGCTGAAGTGTGCATTTTAAACAAGTGTTTGTTTCATTGGAACAAGTTTCAAGTAAGATATCTAACATCCGTGTTAGTCATATATTGGTCACTGAGATTCTTAAGAAAACTATACTTGAATCCTGAGCTGACATGCTGGACTTTGTAAGTGACAGTGGTAGGAAAGAGATGGGACATTCATCGGGTGTAGTGAGAGGCTTATTAGGCGGCTACCTTCACAAGTGAGTTTGTATTACTCCTGCAGGTGGGCTGTTTCCTTGAGTTTTGCTCTTTTCTCTGACAGTACGTCAAGATGGTGGCTGGAGTCACTGGTCTCCCTGGTCTTCCTGTTCAGTTACCTGCGGAGTAGGAAATATCACCCGCATCCGCCTCTGTAATTCCCCGATCCCCCAGATGGGTGGGAAAAACTGTGTGGGAAATGGGCGTGAAACAGAGAAGTGTGAGAAGGTTCCATGTCCAGGTATGTCTGTGGTCTTGAATCCAAGGTGATGCAATAATATTCCAGCTGAACTTCTCCTCTTTATTCAGATCTGAATTACACGCTTGAATCCAAGGTGATGCAATAATATTCCAGATGAACTTCTCTTTATTCAGATCTGAATTACACAGAATTTCTATGACGGAAAATATAATTTGTAGCTTAGGGGTGAAATAACACACAAGGGTGCTTTTAAAATGAAGACAACAATGCAGTCGGAGGTTTTGTAAACATCACAAGTTATGATTTGGCTTTAAACATTAAAAGTTTGAGAAATTTTTGGTTTATAACTTACTGTTTTATCTCTGCATGTCAAAAATACAAACCCTTCCTATCTAAAAGGAAGCTGATACTGTACATGTTAGGAACAGACATACAGTCCCCCAATAGCCAAGTTTCTTTAAAAATGTGCTTACATATTTTACACATTCAACACATTTAATTGTTATTATAATTCCTTCTTCATCTACACTATTTATCCATTTTAGAGACCATCCACTCACTTTCACTCTCCTTTCATGTAATTTTTCCTCATTTTTTTTCCCTTTGTGTATCTTCATTTCCTCCTTTGTTCAGCATTTCCTTTCTACTTATGGGATATGAGCTTGAAAGTGATGTCAAGCTTCTAACCCAATAGTACTTAAATAGATACACACACTTCATCTATTTTTTTGATTACTTGTGCATGTGAAAAAGTTATTTGTTTAAGAACACACCATCACCCTTACATTCTTTTGCAGTACCAAGAACTAACAGAGTTTGATTCAAAGATGTTTGTATTTCAAGAAAATTCAGAGTTGATGACAACACTATCAGTATAGTTGTAGCAATATAAAACGTGCAAAATAATAATTGACATACGTTATTTACCCAGAATCAAGCAATATTATTAAGATACACTGATGAATGAATTACAAAATAAGAATAATAGCTGCAACTGTACTGAGCATACTGTTGCCATAAAAAAGACCCTACAGAGCTTGGGTTTGGCTCAGTAGAAGTTTGTATCCTGTGGTAACACCCTGCTTTCTGTACAAAGTGAAAGCTTAGTAGGGAGCTTTGAAGGCACCGTACTTGTTCTGATCAACTTCAATGGAAATATGCCATGCCAGTGGGCACAGCATGTTGTTTTGAAGTATTGGCCAAAAAATTACTATAAAGCAGTTGGGTATTTTTCGTTTGTTTCTGAAATATTGCTATTTCAGTGTAAGTCTTTGCCAGCACCTTTCTTCCTATGTGTGTAGTGAGTCGGGGATCTGAAGAAAGGGTTATCATTGGCACCAGATGTTGTCTCCAGTATATTGCCTGTGACACTCTTCTCACTTCTGCATATCCTAGTGAATGGCCGGTGGGGTCCTTGGTCTCCATGGTCTGCCTGCACTGTTACCTGTGGAGGAGGAATTCGTGAGAGGTCTCGCCTCTGTAACAGTCCAGAGCCACAGTATGGAGGAAAGCCATGTGTGGGAGATACCAGGCAGCATGATATGTGCAATAAGAAGGATTGCCCAATTGGTTGGTATTCGGTAATTTTTTTGTTCAGTCTGAGTAATTACTATTGCTGTTATTTCTTCAATGGATAATTATGTATTGACACGACAGAAATCTACTAATTATACCTTTGTTTCAGGAAAGCACATTTAACCATTTTGTGTGCTGTTTAGATCAGTGGGATTTTATATATATCTTTAATACTGACTTCTGAAAAAGAATCTGTTTCTTAGAGGGGCTTCAATATGCTGTAATGTATTCAACTGCATTGATGACACAGTAGCAAACTGCTACTGTAGCCATCTGTAATATTTTTGTGTTAAATGCATAATCCTATCAATTTAAATGCATTTAATAACCCTGATTCTGAGGGGTTATATAAGTCTGTTGCATCAGATGTGATTTAAGCTAATGAAGAGAGAATACCTGTTTCTTAAATGAAGTTTTACATGCCTTTTATGCATGTCTTTGCCAGATGGGTGTTTGTCAAATCCTTGCTTTCCTGGAGCAGAATGCAACAGTTACCCAGATGGGTCTTGGTCATGTGGGCCATGCCCAGCAGGTTATCTTGGCAATGGTACCGTCTGTGAGGATCTTGATGAGGTATTGACTTTGTTTCCATTAGCATCAGGAAATCACTGTGAAATTTCCATTATTTCTGTCATCTAATTTTCTTTCTTTTCCTGCAGTGTATAGCTGTGTCAGATGTTTGCTTTAAGGTGAATCAGGTCCATCGCTGTGTGAACACAAATCCAGGATTCCACTGCTTGCCATGTCCTCCACGCTATAAAGGAAGTCAGCCCTATGGGGTAGGGCTGGAAGTTGCCAAAACAGAGAAGCAAGTAAGTGATGTCAAAGAGAATTTGATGGCTTTGAAACTGAGTACTTCTCACCTAAAAATATCTGTGAATGAAAGCATGTGATAAACGTGGGTACTAAACAAAGGTAACCTGAAATAGATAACTGCTGTTCCAGGGTATTTTTGTTTCAAATAAGAAAACACTGAATTTGGGGTTGGATTTTTAAGGTTTTTATTTTCTCTAGGTATCTGCACTGTTGCACCAAATGAGTGTAAAATGCCAGGAGCAAACATTCCCCTGCTTTGCACTCCTTTCTGTCAGGTGTATATACCTACTCTGGGGATTGGAAACTGAAGAATCAGGATTGTTCTCTCTGTAAATATAATGCTGTTAATGTGGGTGTCATCAGACATGTCTGAAATTCTCATTCCCTAAATTCCATTGGACCAACACCTATCAGTGTTGAAGGACAGAAGGAAGTGGAAGTGATATTGAAGACTATGGTTTGATAGACAAGACAAACCCACTAAAACAGATGTCATGGGATGCCTTCTCTTTGTTGCTGTTGAATTGATCTATGGTTAGCTCAACATCTGAAGTCTAAATGTAAAACATCTGTGTAAGACTCTCAGGCACTGTCAATGAAAATAAGCAATGTGATAAGAAAGAAGTAACAAAAACTGACTTGAGGGGAATGTGAGAATGCATTAGGGTCTTTTTGATTTAAGAAATAAGGTAGTCCTTGCACACTGACAGGCAGAATGGTAAAGGAAAGAGGCGAGTACAGTCTGCTTTCAGTTGCTCTTAATTTCTGGGCATTGATGACATTTGGAAGAAAGCAGATAGAGTTCTGAAAATGTTAATCACTTTCATTGCCTGTTGAATAACATCCAATTTTTCCATTGGTTTGTTTTAATTATTTTCATTGTACACATTGTCTGGAGTTGTGAAGAGACAGAGTAGTATGGCTTACTAGCCACAAATTTAATTTAAACAAAGCTTCTGTCTTTAGGCATCTAAATAACTGGCCTGATTTTGACAAAGTTGAGGCACACACAGCTGGCTGTGAATATCATCAATTTTCAGTGAGTATGCTCTATCTGTTACAGGTCTGTGAACCTGAGAATCCATGCAAGGACAAGACACACAGCTGCCATAAGTCTGCAGAGTGCATCTATCTGGGCCATTTCAGTGATCCTATGTACAAATGTGAATGTAGAACAGGTTATGCTGGTGATGGACGCATCTGTGGTGAGGATTCGGATTTGGATGGCTGGCCTAATAATAACTTGGTCTGTGCTGCTAATGCAACATACCATTGTGTGAAGGTAAGTTAAGGGTTGGTAAAAATGACACGTGATAACCAATTTTTCTTTTTTTTTTTTCCCTAAGTACTTGTGAATAACACTTTTCAGTATCAAGCTGGTGGTTGCTTTCATTGAGCTTGGACTGAGCATGCTCATTTTCTAGATGCTGTGAAATGTGTGTTCACTTAACACTAGATCTAGTAAGGGATTCTCAAAATGAAATCCAGCACCCTCCGCTTAGGATTTCTTCCTACTCAGAATACATGGAAGGTTGGGATGCTTGTGAACTGAGTTACACAGCAAGCAGGAGCTGCCTAAAGCATGGGTGTGGAGCACACAGCTAGTCAGAACTAAACAGGAATTTCTGGGTGTGGTTGAGCATGAAATCCTACCTGCAAGGCTTGTAACAAGACACTGATGGCCACATAAGGTTTACAGTTCTAAATCCTTTCCTGGGCTACCCTTTCCTTTTAAAGAGTTAAGCAGGTCACACTCTGTGAAAACTGGATTCAGAGCCTGAGGTAATTTTTGGCAATAGGAACCTGAAAGGGGAATGAATTTGAGTAATTAGGCAGGGGAGTTCTCCTTATTGTGTAAGCTCAGAAGAGGGTGGGAGATTCAGCCTCTCTTACCCTTCAGAGACTTGAGAGAATCAGAAGTCACTCAGCTATAATCCACTTCAAGTTGTGAATCTGAGCTTTATTAGCAAAAGAGTGTCGGACATGGATGGAAATTTGAGCCTCAAATGTTGATCATCTTTCACCATAGCTGATGTCTGTTCATTGTGATCCAGCCAATTCAGCGACTGCAGTTCATACATTCTTTTTCGGTTCATATCATCAGAATCTGCAACATATTGACTCAAGATGTAATGCAAATTATTAGCTTTCATTAAAAACCCAACATGCTGAATGCATTCAGAAAAAAACTGTTTCCAAAGGTTGATTCATGGTTTCTATAATACATGTGTTGATCTAATAGACACAAGTACTTCATTTAAGGGGACCTCCTCATCTTTTTCTTAAATTATCTGTACTGTTAGAACCATTGAGATTGAAAACAGGGCTAAGAATCTTACTATAACATTAGTTTTCTTAGGGTATGTGTTACAAAAAAGGTATTTCTGTACTCTACTGGCAGATTTAGTTTGCTCTGAAGAAGATACAGACTATAAGAATACAGAGGGGGGGGTTATAGATGTATTCTTAGCCAGTAGTAGAACTGCAATCTATTTTTAGCTGATTTTAGTATTTTAAAAAGGAGAACATGTTAAAAGTTTGGCAAAGTATTTCACTTCTTATTTTTTCAGTGTAACCTAAGACTTGCTTATTTAAAATAATAATTCTTTACAAAGCTGTGATACGAAATAGAGATACATTTGCCTTTTATTTTCAAAGCCATGGGAGTGCAAAGGTACTGTTTTGCAGAACAATGTAAAGGCATGTTTTTCAAAACCCTTTCTTACAGTGTTCCCTTCATTGCTGTGTACTACTTCATTCCAGTAACTTTCCATATGAACAACTTTTGTGAAGACCATCTTCTGGCTTGTATCTTTATTTTTCTGGCAACCAAACCTGGTCGTTTTATATGTAATCCTCAAACATACTTCATGAGTTGTCTATAAAAAGTTGATGTAAGAGTGCATGAGTGTGTGTGTGTGGTGTATTTGTTCTCTGCTAGATAGTTTCACCTAAAATTTACTGGAAACATCCCTTTAACAGAAGGAGAGCTGGGAAATAGAATGATTTGCAGATGCATTTCACTTACTTTACAATATGAAAGCAGCAAATGAACTACTATCTTTGGCAACAAACAAACAGGCTCTTTAAAAAGTATTTGTGATTGATCATTCTTGTTTTATAGTCTCTGGTGTACTATATCTAGTCTTCCACCCAGGCAAGTCATTCTGACATAATGTAAATGTACTGTATCGATTATGTCTTTTGTCCAGGATAACTGCCCCCTTCTGCCTAACTCTGGCCAAGAAGACTTTGATAAAGATGGCAAAGGAGATGCCTGTGATGAGGATGATGACAATGATGGTGTCGAAGATGACAAAGTAAGATGCGTTTCTGTACTTCAGTATATTTGACCTAAACATCTGGTTTCAAGGAAAATCATTATAATAGATGAGCTGCTATTGTTCAAAGCTTCAGCTGAGTTATTTTGCACTGCCTTCCCTGAATCATATCTGGTGCAGAGTAAAGCTGAACTGGGTCAAAGGAGAGTAGCACTGTGCAGAGCAAAGCAGCCTGGGGAACCTGGGGCTGAATTATGTTCTCCGTATCAGTTCTGTGTTCAGTTGTGTGCATGAAAACAGTTTAATGACAAGTGGTATTGGATTTTTTTATTTTGCAGTGGGAGAATGATAGGTCCGTTGTATTTGAAAAGCTGGTAAATATTATATCTGAGGTATGATGGAAACAAGTTATGATGAATAATAGCTACAAACACAACATCATCAAGGGGAAATGATGGGAGGAAAGTACCTAGCCTGGTTCATACTTTTCCTTTACAGCTGCCCACAAGACTGAAATTCGTTTACCTGCAAACCCTAAAAGATAGGCAGTTAGTCTAAATATTTTCTCCCTGTACATTCGGCAGAAGGAGAGAGGCAGCTCCAGAGTGGGCTTCACCCTGCCTTTTCTGAACGTGTTTGGGATGAGTGAATTTGTTTTAGGAATTTACTGTTCCTCTGTTCCCTTCAGAGGGAGCCTAGGTGCTCTAGGGCTTCAAATGGTTAAAGCTGGGTTAGAACTGTGTTCACGGAGCCTCTATCTATAATATTTCAAAAATCAAAGAATCATTTGATAAAATGGTAAGATTTAGTACGTATTTGAAAAATTGTAGGCAGAAGTTGTTTTATGAGCAGTAGAAAACTTTAACTTGCCTCTATATCTTGTCCTAGAATATATAAAATGTATTTCTGAGGTGTTTAAAATGTGCTAAAAAAAATATTTCCTAGTAAATGGTTTTTGCTTTAGCAGAGGAAAAGTAATTTAAAGATTCATTTATTTTTTTTTTTCTCCATATGACCTCCCTTCAGATTCCATGATGCTGATGTAGCCCTCACTCCCACTGCTTTGATTTGGTTTTGTTCTTCTTTGCTTTCCACACTGAGTACTTCCTCAGTGCCTGTGAAAAAGTCCATGTGTAATTTGGGTATGTGTGAAATGTAAGAATTCTTGTTCTGGCAGACTTTCAAATTAGGGATTAAACTGGAATGAAATTTTAAAAATTCCTAAAAGGAATGGTTTCAGGGAAAAAATATTTTGGGTCAATGAGAGTATTTAATTTTAAATTTGTGTTTTGAAACTTTTTACATTTTATTATCATATGCAATATTACACAATCCACAAAAAATTATTTTAAATTGAAAAAAATATTTTAAATTGAAAAATCAAAATGTGGTTTAAAAGTGGAATACTGGTACTAGTTTGTTCCAAAAAAAGTCAGAGTAATAATTCTATTTTTTTTTCAAAAAAAATATTATATGCAGCTGAAATTGGCCTGATTTTGCAATATGTTCTAGCTTTTTTAAAAAACACATGTACCAGTGATACACTTCTGTTGAAATATCTGAGTACAGATCCAATTTGAAATGCTTGTTGCTCTCCTAGTGAGATCTGGAAAACATTTCACCTGCCTTGTATGAAAACAGACAGTAAGCCAGGCTGTCCAGATGCCGTCCTGTTACCACCAAGATCTTAAGTGTAGGTAGAGCTTGTCCATTTAAAAAGTAATGGATTAATATTTTAATTTTTGGCCTCTGTCCAAGAGGAACAGGAGGAATTACCACTTCATAGTATGCTCTCATGAGTTGTGATTTATATTCTGAAATCTTCTGTTTCTTCTTACTAGGACAATTGCCCTCTTCTATTCAACCCTCGTCAGTTTGATTATGACAAGGATGAAGTTGGTGACCGCTGTGATAATTGCCCCTATGTGCACAACCCTGCTCAGATTGACACAGATAATAATGGGGAGGGTGACTCATGTGCTGTGGATATTGACGGAGATGGTACGCTTTCAGTTTTGAGAATTAAGTGCTATTCCACAAGTACGCTTTGCTTTGTGTCCAGTAAGATGGGCTACCTGCTTTTATACACAGAATCAAATTGAGTCTAGCAGCTCAAAAATGCAGGAGAAGAAAGAGAAGACTGAGTTTCATGTGTCCTGTGTAGTATAGTTGTCCATAAGTCCCTAAATGACTACAATGGATATTATTGAAGAATAAATCACAGCAGGTCTTCTATCAGTGTAATCTTAAAAATTCTTTCCTTTATCTGTGTTCCAAAATAATCAGGGTCTAATATAACACTTTTGTTGACTTTTTTCCTTTTTAGGGAGGGAAAAGAACATCAGAACATCTGTGCTGTTAAGACAATATCTGTAGGAGAGTAATCTGCTTTTCTATGAACGTAATGCAAAGCCCACAGTAATTCACATACACATTTTTTGTGTGTCTTAAGACTTTATTAAAGGTGCTTATTTCATCTGCCAGTACATGCCTATCTGAGCCAGATTTGATCAGAATTAAGGAGAGGGAAAATCACATAAATGTCTTTCAGAAATCATACCCCTGCAGTGCTTCAAATTTATGAGAATCCAGAAGTTCTAGAAGTTGAAGAATTCTAGTTTTGGATTTCCTTCAGTAACACTTTAAACTTTTGGATGCTTATAATGTAGGAAAGGGTCCTTTTATCCTTTCCAGACAGATATGCCAACATGTCTTGTGTTTTTTTGGTTGTGTTGTTTTTTTTCTTTTCAACATATTATAATTTTGAAGGAGGTTGTGGTTGTGTAATAAAGTTTCCTGAGGAGAAACAGTTTCTCTGGAAAATTTGGCATGCTGTACAACATATGATGCACATGCTCTGATAAAATTGAATTATTAAGTGCTGAGGCAACTGAACATTAATGCAGTTTTTCCTATACAAAACTCTTCAGAAATTCCACCATGATATAGCTGTATATTCTATGCCATTTCTTAAAGCGTGGGAAGAAAATCCAAACCAAATTATTTAAAAAGGAAAAATACCCCACCCCTTTATCTGTTATTCTGTGAAAAAGGGATGAATGCTTAAGACGTAATTAGCCCTTACTCTAACAACATTTCTTAGGAAAACAAATATAGAAGACTTTATCATAGCAAGAGATGTGGAAATTATACCAAAATTTTTCTTTCTGGTAGCCTTTTCACTATTTCATGTTGTAGCAATCGAAGTCTATGAACCCCTTAAGAGCCTCACTTCTTTACTGGTGGCACCTGTGTTCTGTGGATTGTCTGTGCTGGATGCTACATCATTCTGATTTCTCTAATCTTTTGTTGTGTTTTTTTTTTTTTCCCCTCATAGACATTTTTAATGAACGAGATAATTGCCCTTATGTCTATAACACGGACCAGAGTGATACAGATGGTGATGGAGTTGGTGATCAGTGTGATAATTGTCCGTTGATGCATAATCCAGACCAGGTAAATGTTGGAGACTGTTTCGTTAATGCTAATGTCAGAACAAAGGCAGAGAAAAGAATACAAGAATTGCTATCAGTCCCTGTTTACTGTAGAGCTGAAGAGGTGGATCTGTATTGCTCGTTGTCACATCTCAGATTGTCAGATCATTTTGTATCAGATAAAAGGGAAATAGAGTGATGCTTTTAATCCATGTTCAGACCTTTGGCAAACTGTTTTATTCCCTCATGGCAAGGGAGTACAGCCTGAGGGCTGCATTTGATACGCCTGAATTTGTTGGTCCATGTGCACATAAGTAATATCAGGTATACAGAAGCAAACAGAAAATGTGCTGCCCAGACTGACGCTCCCCTGTGATCTCTAGAATGACAGCAATGAAGATTGTGGCCAAAGACCTGCGCTGGAAATGTCTTGGGGACCAGATATTATGCACTGATAGCAGAATAAGTAGCCATGCTATTTTGAAATTATGTTTGTGCTTTAAGCATCGTTGTCATCATGATAACACTTGTCTCCAGAGAAGTCCTTGAAGAGAAGTGTTTGAGAAATTAAATACCAGGCTGTCCGTACTTTTGAATTTAGTAACAATAATAAATCTACTCTTTTTTTTTTTGGTAGACTGATGCAGATAATGACCTTGTTGGTGACCAATGTGACAACAATGAGGACATAGATGAAGATGGCCACCAGAACAACCAGGATAACTGCCCTTACATCCCCAATGCTAACCAGGCTGACCATGATAAAGATGGTAAAGGAGATGCCTGTGATCCTGATGATGACAATGATGGTGTCCCAGATGACAGGGACAATTGTCGCCTCAGATACAACCCTGAGCAGGAGGACTCTGATGGTAAGAACAATGACGTATGAATTTCATTTTGTTCTTAGTATCCAGTTCTGATCTTGAAGTATTAATACCTGATGGACAGAAAGACTTCGGATCAAACTGAGCTGCTTTTGACATTTGAAGACACTGTGGACTTCAATGGAACTGAACTGGCCAGTTTGGTCCAGGGTTAGAGCATTATGAAACTTCTTTGACAGGGGCTTAAACATGCACGTGCTTTTTTAAAGAACACCTTTGACATTTAAAAAGAAAAAATGATTCTTCTTTATGATTCTGATTTTCACTTTGAATTGAAATATTAAATGTCTGCGAAAATATTTCAAATAACTTGAATTTCACATGTCTTTAAATATGAAAAATGAGCTGCTTTGCTCTCAAAACAAGTTATCTTTTGAAAATTAAAATGGAACAAAATATGATTTCTGCTCTGGTTTTGTTTGGGTTTTTTTTAATAACAGACTATTTCTCCAGGTTTTTAAAGTCTAAAATTCTTGTTAATTTTTAACTATTTTTGTAAAAAAGATTTCTAAGCAGCTTTTCTCAAATGTACTTTATAGGCAGCTTTAAATACGTCTTGATGATGCACATGTCACACTTGAAAAAATGGATACATAATTGTTCTTTTCTCTGGTTTGTGGTAAAATGTGGCTGGTCACTCTCAAACAGTCCTTCTCTATGCTTGGCAGTATTTCAGTAATGAAATAGTGATAGTTTCACAATTATAAATGTAATTTAGAAAACATTTATGATCCTTTATAAACCAGCATAATATGTCTACAAATAATGGCCCTTGCAATAAATACAGGTGAGCAGTTTCTGTTCTGAGTTATACAGCTTCTGGAGTTGTTCCATGGTTACACTGGTGAAATTGAAAGCAGAATTTAGTGCTTACACAATATAGTTTTCTGTACTTTAAAAAAGATAAAATCCTGAGTCCTGACTGATTTCCTGGTAAGACAACTGCTGGCAGTAGAAGGTTTCTGGTTTTTAGTCAGTAGTAGTTCTTAAATTATTTAACCCTTCAGTCCAGTTGTATATTCGGAATATCTTTTTGCTTGCCAATCTCTGGAATAGCTCCTTAAGTTCAGAAATATTCCAGAATAAGGGTGCCTCCAAACTGGGAGAGTTTGTTATAGTCATCTGTCACTTGCATCTTGCAAGGGAGACTACCTTTATGTATGGAGTAAGGCTTCACAAAAAGCTTAAATTTAAACAGTTTAGCCACTTTGTCACTGTCATTAGCAGCAGGTCCAACAGAAATCTTGAAAAAGCGATAAATAAAGCCAAAAGATGCTCCCACGCTCTTGATGTGAGCTATAGCACGTAAAGATGAGGCCCTGGAGAAAGCTGTTGGACATGGCTGGGTAAACAAACGCTTTCTAACTTTCCTTGACAGAAAATCAATGTTGTCAGCAGCAGCTCAGTACCAAATGAATGTCAGTGGGACTTTCAGAGAATAATTAGATTCTCCTGTAACTCAAGAATTACCTCTTTGCAAAGGGAATAAAATTGGAAATTCATTCTCTTTTCTCCAATAAGTACTAAGACAAACAGGTATAAGAGCACACAGCTGGTCCAAAACTCAGGATTTGGAGTTCTCCATGGCTGATTGCCAGGGTGGAAAATGGGACCATTTTACCATGTATCTGAACTGCAGAAAGTGTTTGAGATATTAGATGCTTTAGTTTTCTCTATTTTTTCTTTTTTTGGCTGTTGCCTAAAACTCATTCTGCTTTCTCTCTGAAAGCTTCATACTTGGATAATGCTGTGCTGGTTAGGCATAATGATGTAGCTTTCTAATTTGTGAAGCATCTAGTAGTAGGTCAATATTGAATGAGCTGGATCATTGCTATTTCCCGTTGTGTTAATTCTCATGTTCTTAGAGCAGTTACAAACACTTTGAAAAAAAAAAAGCCAATGCTCAGCTACATGAGGATAGAACCAAATTAGGTGGCCATTGTGGTTTTACAGTAGTATCCAGTGTAATATCCAGTGATTTCTGTTGTAAAAGTCGGAGCCATTTGTGAATTTGTTTCTATACTTAACTAGCCAAGTTTTTCTGCTTTATTTTTAAGTGTTTATACTATTGTATGCTACTGAATAACAGTGGCATTGGCAAAGAGATTTTTTTTTAGATGCCTCCTTTCACCACCTGCTATTCAAGGCAAGTCATGCCTGCTTGTTTCTGCTAATATTATGGGTAAATAGAAAGGAAATTTTTTTTTTAAATAGTGAGTGTAGTAAGTGGTGAGCAGAAGTACAACTGTAGCAGAGTGGTATGGATGTATTTTCAGGTTCTTGTGGTTTAACCTCAGCTGGCAGCTAAGCACCATGTGGCTGCTCACTCACTGTTCCCCCCACCCTCCGGTGGAAAGGGGAGGAGAATCCAAAAAAAACTAAACCTCGTGGGTTGAGATAAAACAGTTTAATTGAGATAAAATATAATAATAATAATACAAAATCATTGTAATGAAAAGGAAGATAACACAGAGAGAAATCAAACCCAAGAAAAGACAAGTGATGGACAATGCAGTTGCTCACTACCCACTGACTGATCCCCAGCAGTGACCCACCCCTCCAGGCCAGCTGCCCCCAGTTTTTATACTGGGCATGACGTCCTGTGGTGTGGAATATCCCTTTGGCTAATTTGGGTCAGCTGTCCTGGCCATGCTCCCCCCCAGCTTCTTGTGCACATCTTCGTGGGCAGAGCACAGGAAACTGAAAAATCCTTAACTCAGGATAAGCACTACTTAGCAACAGCTAAAACATCAGTGTGTTATCAGTGTTATTCTCATCCTAAATCCAAAACACAGCGCTGTACCAGCTACTAGGAAGAAATTAACTCCATTCCAGTTGAAATCAGGACAGTTCTCTAAAAAACTTCTTGAAATTCATATAACAAAACTTAATATTCCCATTCCTCCAAGGCTAGTCCTTTTGGATACAGTGCTTTTTTTCTTACATTTTTCTGAAGCACAGCATTTAAGACAAATTGTTCTACCCACAAGTGAAGCAGTGACTAAGCACGTATGCATATTTTACTGCAATACTGTCCTACTGTCCCCACTTTCTTTTGACATAGAGGTGATACTTCTGCAAGCTGGAGCACCTTAGATGGATTGTTGCTGAAGGAATCTTAAGGCAGAGTTAAAAGTCTGAAAGAAGTTGAATATCTTCAATAGTATATAAGGATTTAGTAATATGAAGGAAGATTAAGACTTTGACGCTATTGTTTGAATTAATTTGCACTGCCCACTTCTAATATGTGGTCTTGTATCCACATCTGGGACAAATCAGACTGAAAATGTAATACAAGCATTAGTGAATTACATCAACATAGCAAACTTCCAACTTTTCCCACCCCGATTCCAAAGCAGCATAGAGACTGGGGCCAAATAGATCATTGTCATATACTACTGAGAGGATAGTTTTATTAAGAGCAATTTTGGCCCCTATCTAAATTGATGACTTCTTCCAGTCATTACCAGCAACATTTCAAATGGACTTTCAGAAAACGAAGTTTTTTTTGCAGTCATTTGGAATGTTCTTTGAGAGACAAGAGAATAATGTACTCATATGTATCGTAAATTTCTTTTGTCAGTGGGAGAGCTGTTAGGTAGGCTGGATAAATTACTAACAATTGCATTTGCTTATTCACATTGCTTATAGGTGATGGCAGAGGTGATATTTGCAAAGATGACTTTGACAATGACAATGTCCCGGATATTTATGATGTATGCCCTGAAAACAATGCCATCAGCGAAACTGACTTCAGAAAGTTCCAGATGGTCCCCCTGGACCCCAAGGGAACAGCTCAGATTGATCCTAACTGGGTTATTCGCCACCAAGGCAAGGAACTGGTGCAGACTGCCAACTCTGATCCTGGAATAGCTGTAGGTGAGTATCAGATGTCAGCCATTGTCCTTGGAAAAGTAACAAGTGATCTGGTGATAAGGAAAGGAGGAAAAAAAGTAGATAAACACCTTTTTTGTGCTGCAAGCTTTGGGGTGACACATGGAGACAGTGTATATGCTCAAATAAAAAACACTTCAATTCTGCTTGCCTTTTGTTGACCATTTGCCTCATCACTGACTGTAATACACAAAATACACAGTTGAAGAACTTGGTGTAACTATAGTGCCTGCTATCTTTAACACCCTTGTCCCTCCAGAAGCCTTTTGCAATAGGTAGGCAAGTGTAATTAGCTCCTCTCCTATGGGTAAGGAAATGGAAAAAGATAATTTATGACACCTGGCAAAACTCAAGATAGAGCTGGGATTCTTGGGTGTGGGTGGCCGGACCCAGCATTGTAACTCAATGGTTTGTCTCTTTTTGTCCTCTCCCAGGCTACGATGAATTCAGTTCCGTTGACTTCAGTGGAACTTTCTATGTTAACACAGACCGCGATGATGACTATGCCGGCTTTGTGTTTGGTTATCAGTCCAGCAGTCGGTTTTATGTTCTGATGTGGAAGCAGGTCACTCAGACCTACTGGGAGGACAAACCCACCAGGGCTTATGGCTATTCTGGTGTGTCACTCAAAGTAGTGAATTCAACAACTGGTGCTGGCGAACACTTGAGAAATGCTCTCTGGCATACAGGAAACACCCCTGGACAGGTGAGAGATTTGAAACTTCAGGCCAACAGTGCATGTCTAATATTTTGAGAGATGTCTCGAAAAGAATTTCCCTCCATGCCTCAATTTTTGCAGATGTTTGTCAGCTTTTCTTCAATTTCTGTATTACTAGTGTCAATAATAACATTTGCATGTGTTTCAAAGAAAACATTACACGTGTAAAAAAAATCTTGAATGGAAAAAATTACATGTATAAATGGGAAGATGTGGTGTGTTCCAAAGAAAAAGGAGTGAGAGGTCTCAGTTATCCGTAAATCCTTTGTGACCTCTGTATTGGCACTTGCTTCTTTGGCATTCCAGCTTGTTTGAATTGTACGTGGTTTAGAGTTCAGTAACAAGTGACAGCCAAAGAGAAAAGAAATGAAAACAAAGAGAGAAAAACTGCTGCTGTTCCAAATAGGGCCCAGCCATGGAAGACACTTGTGCCTTTTGGAAATGAAGTTAGTGGGGCTTTGCATATGGATAGGAATTTAGCACGTCAGAGCTCCTTGCAGGAAAAGGACCTTGACTGAGTGCGAGAGATTTCAAGGAGCAGGCCACAGGCAGTAACATCTGTGCGAGCTGCAGTCCTTCTCCTTCGGTGGAGACATACAGATAGGAAAAGTAGCATCGACTCTGGCAGCGGGGTGTGTATGTGCAAACAGGGGCAGGACTTCCTAAGAGAAGTCAGGTTCGATGCTGTAGTGGTATTCAGTGAGTCCAGCTATGAAACTACAGATGAGTAACTGATTAATAATTATTAAAGACAGAAATTTTCATTACTCACCCTTGTATAAAAGAGGTCTGCTAATCATACCATCAAATGTTAAACACTATTTTCAGTTTCATGCTCTGCAGCAAATAAGATTTGGCTGCATGTGCAGTTACTATAATGGGTGTACAGTTACTGGAGCACAATCTGCTTCTAATAAGGCATTTGTATTCCTACTGTAGGTGCGTACTTTGTGGCATGATCCCAAGAACATTGGCTGGAAAGATTATACAGCTTACAGGTGGCATTTGATCCATAGACCTAAAACAGGATTAATAAAGTAAGAAGTGGTTCTGCACCTCTATTTTGTAGTAGCAAAACTTTTGTCTCCGTTGATATAAGACCTATGTTATCAGTTTCTTTGTTAGTTCTGATAATGATGATACTTGTGTGACAGGTTGTTCCAGTACTTTGGGGGACGTTTTGTTGTCTTTAGAATAAGTTCTTTTCCTTTTCAGATGTATTTAATTTAATCTAGACAGTTCAATACTTATATCAGCTAAATATTCTTAAATTAAAGAAAAAGTAACATTCTTTCTCACTAGCTCTTCTGTAAAGGGACCAAAAATTCCTGAGCAAAACTTTGTGCAAGATTAGAACACGAGATTCCTCCCCAGCCTCTGGAATTTGAATAAATGAAATTAATTAGAAACACCAGAATTGCCACAGGGAAGTAGGCCAACAGCCTGTCTACTTCAGCATCCTGTCTCCTATAGTGGCTTATATGAGATGCTGCAAAAGTAGCCATGAGCACATCTGTGATGCACACAACAAGGAGCTATGGCATATGACTTTCCTTAGAGCCCAGCTGCTTATCTGATGTTCCAAAGAATGGGCATTAACTGTCCATGTCAATTTTATCTTCTACTAACTGCTGTAACTGTAAAGGACATTTTTCATGGGGCAGAGTCTGACCTTGTCTCTTAAGGTCTTGTTTGTGCTTATGATCAGGGGAGTTTCATTTGGCTGTGAAAGATAGAGGGTAGACAAATTTGGATAGACTAAGTGATCTGTTTCTTGGAAAGAAAAGAGTTTATGCATTAAAGTATTGCAGTGCAAAGTATTGACTGAAAGGAAACTTGAATTTTTCATTCATGTTGCTGTTACCTGTGTCTTCCTTTTCAGAATCTGCTTGGTGTCAGACAAAGCATGTTTCAACTGGTGTCCCATTAGATTAATCTAGCATGACAAATTCTATGGTCCAGGACATTAAATTACTTCATTCTTTGAGGTGGTTTTATAGAAAATAAATAAAATCAATTATTTCACTAATATAGTCAGGAAATCATTTTATTTGTACAGAAATAGCAATTTAGTATTAACATGATCAGAGCTGCTTAATTTTTGTTTGGTGGGATGAATAATTTATTAATTTCTTCAGATATGTTTTTGTTCTTGAAATTTTGAGAATTATGTTAAATAGGGTTACGTGAACCTGTCATTCTTTTTGCTGTGTGGTCGTTTTTTGTTTTGGTTTGGTTTTTTCTACCATCCATTACTCTTTCTGGGGAGCAGTTTCATACTTATCTTTAGGCACTTTTCGGAAAATAAAACACCTCAAGGTAGAGCAAGTGCTGGAGATGCATTTCTGCCTAAAGTAGAAATCTGTCCCTACCCCTTGAGTTATAAGAAGTTGCTCAAGTACGTTCATCCTCATGTGAAGCCATCCTGCTTCGTATAACTAATGTATTGTCAGTTGAAGCAGGACCATAGACCCTTTCTCCAGAGACTGCTTTAATTAACAGACTATAGAGTCATTTCTTATTTGGCCCAAAAGCTTTTTTAAAGACTGAGAGCCCAATAACCTTGACTATCTCAAGGTCTCCCATGAGAAGTGGAGAATTCAAGTTCAAGGGACTGCAGTCTATCTGATAGAGAAGGAGAATGAAGAGACATCTTTAGAGGTCTTCTGGCTCCAGGGTGGATGCCTGAAACACTATAACAACAAAATAAAACTCCAAACAAAATAAAACCCATGTTTCCCTTCTTTTCTAGTTTATTATTAGTCTAGCTGTTTGTGTCCAAGTCCTTTCAGCTTTCATTAAGCTTTTAAAATGTCTGAAACTGAGATTCAGCATGTTTCCAATTCATGTTTTGTTTGACTCTAAAGGGATGGTTCTTCCAATTTCTGATGTTGGCCCTTGCACCTAAAGATAAATGGCATTCACACAGCTGCAAAGATGACTTTGCTAAATGATGTGGCAAGGTCTTGTGCTAACCTCTGAGTTCACAGGGACAGGGGCTTATCAATGAATGCTAGTACATTACATAGTTCATTCCAGGAGACATGACTGTTCTAAATAAAGAATTGGGAAATCTTTTGCAGATGGTATGCATAAAATTGCTTATGGAACAGCTCTGCTGCTTCTGATTAGTGTGTTATGGCTGCCAGCCAGGTGGGCGTGAGATACAGATTAGAAGTGATCCTTAGAGTGAAGTTGGGTTTTCTGCTGTCTTGGTAAAATTAATTCTGTTTTAGTTCTTGGGAACTGTTACCAGCCTGTAGCACTGGACACTGCATTATCCTCCTTGTCTAATTTAAATTATGTTCTTCTTTACAGAGTTTTAGTGTATGAAGGGAAACAAGTCATGGTGGATTCTGGACCGATCTATGATACAACCTTTGCTGGTGGACGATTAGGTCTTTTTGTCTTCTCTCAAGAGATGGTCTATTTCTCTGACCTCAAATATGAATGCAGAGGTTAGTTACAGAAGATGCCTTGAAAATGCTGAAGCCTTTGATAACCTGTGGAGGAGGCATGAAATATGGAAATGAGAAGTGTCCTCTAGTTACTGAAAGCAATCTGTAATGTCATAGTATGGAGTCAACCTTGATTTGTTGAAATACCATGAATGCCCTTTGCCCCTGTAGTAATCTCAATTTGAATAACAAAACCCAGATGTTTAATACTACTCACCTGGAAAAAATGAGATAGAAATCTCTGAGTGAGATGCACTTAGAATTCTCTCTGTATATTCACTTCCCTCTGTAGGCTATTTCAGTGTGTCCTGTGGGCAGAGCACTGCTTCTGGATTACCCTGCTTTCAAGAGGCATGAAGGAGAGAGCAGATATTTTTAATGAGCATGTCTGTCTATAGTGCCTTGTCTGAAATGTTTTGAAATACAGAAAATATTTTCCCAGGTTTTTTATATATAATTTTTTTCAATACATTTAGATACATAGGTGCACATACAGGTATGTGCGTGTCTCTATCTATATAGGCAGATACCTATTTTTATATAAATCTCCTCACATTTGTAGGAAAATGCAGAATGGGAAACATTGTGCTGCATACCTGTACTCTGTCATGATGGAGCTCTGTCCTTGTGTGATTGACTGCCTAACCAAATAAAACAACCACAATTAATATTTTTTTCCCTTTTCTTTCAGATGCTTGATCAACGGTTGCTGCATTACTAGCAAAGTACTGTAAATGCTATGCAACCTAGTCACCTCAGTACATCCTGGTACTCCCAGTTCTTATTTTCGTGTACCTCCTGTCCTCTGTCCTCGTGCTCCACTCACCAGGTACCTCCCTGTTGCCAGGAGTGCCTCAGCCATCCCTCCACCTAAGTGCCTTCTCACAGCCAGGATTAATGAAACCTAAACGTGAGCGTCCAACCCACCACTGAAGCAAAACCAGATTGACACATTAGAACACTTTTGTCAAGTGAAAACTTAGCAAAACATGTTTGTTTGTCTTTTTTAAGGAATGACGTTTACATATAAAAAATGTAATTACTTAATGTATTTATATATATATGAGAAAAAGAGGGGGGGTGATAATTATCAGTCATTGTCTTTAAGTAAGGAAAAATGTATTTGAATAACTTTTTAGGTATAAGGTTGACACTTCCTTGCTCTGATCAGGACTGGACTTCAGGAACACAAAGCCTCTGGGTCTATTTTTAGCAAAGTAATGGAGGGCCACACCAACAGTATCCATAATAACAATGAAAATGCCTTTGGATAATAAAGTAAAGATCAATTATGAACATTTCTTGATCCAAAAGGATGTTCTTTAGCTGATGAGGATGCTTTTAACACCCATTAAAGTTACAGTTGGTAGAAATGTCAAATTTGCAACCTAAAGCATTATCTAGTAGAGGCTTAATTCAGGCCAAACAGAATTGAACTAGAAACTGCCATATGAAAGTGAAAAGTGATTCACTCCAAACATCCAAAACTATTGTTTTGACTTTCAAAAAAAAAAAAAATTTCCAGTTTTTCTGTTTCCATCATATTTTGCATTCCCTTGTAATAAAGAACATACCATGACTATGTGGAGCAAAATGAACCTGAACCACTTTCCCACCTCTGCTGCAAAAAGCACTTTGACATCCTGAATCCTGATGTGGGTTTTTGAAAAGGTGGCAACGCCACTATTACTTAATTTGGTAACGTATGAATTTAAGGTTCCATTTATAAGTATTTTGTTAGTATTTATTACGATTATAACACTGAGCTATCTTCTCTGATAATTTATTTTAAAGCATGTCATATAATGCATCAGTAATACATTCAGAAATGATATTTTAAAGCTATTTTTAAAAGCATATCGCAATATGTAGATACTGTCAAAGCATGATACACACCTAAGTATAGTTTCATGGAATATATTCATGTATGCTTTAAAGTTAAATGAATAATAATAAGGAATTTATAAATGGAACCTTAATATATATCCAGTTACCCTAATTTTAATATTTTGTATTGTTACCTATGTCTGCTGTATATAGAACTTCTTAAATAATGCTGAAGGGATACCAGTGTTTATTCTAAACAGATACAACAGTTACTCAGATATACAATAGTATAAACATGTTTAACACTTTTTCTTTTAAGTTGTATGAGCTTTGTTCACAAAAAGAACACATGCTGGTGTAATTTTTTTTCATAGATGGGTTAACTAATGGAATAATACAGTACCTCTGCCTTCTTACAGGGCACAGTGAGCTAAATGTTGAATCAACTTTTTTTGCCTTGAAATAGATTTTTGTTGCTGTATTCATAAGAAAGGAATCCACAGTTGCTGGCTTTATTGCACATTTCATAGTGTTCATATTATCAAATCTTTTTGTTTCAGTTTTGTTGCTGTTTGGTTCTGGTTTTGTGGTGGTTTTTTTTGTTTGTTTGTTTTTGTTTGCAGATCCTCTTCATGAGGCTTCTAAATGTTTCAGTTTCTTACTTCTGATGTTTCAAATTGTATCCCCAAGTTACAAGTGGAAGGGAGGGTGACTTCATTAAATGTAATGATTGTAATGGCTGTGTAGGGTTTTTTGTTTTGTCAGAGAGAGACATCAGTGTTGGGATGAAGATGTTAATATTTGGACTGTATCATAATTTTCCTATTCTATGTAAATTATTTATGATGGTTTTTTAAATACCTTTTTCATTTATTTTTTCTTGCAAGTGTGTGTGAGAGTGAGATCAATGAAATTTCATTTTGTTTTGCCAAAGATTGTAAATAATTATTTATTTGTTTACATGGACGGAACTTTATCATTTAACGTCCTGATTCATTTAGTTAGATCCTCATTTATATATATATTAAGAAATTAATGATAGGAAATAAACTGTAAAAAGGTTTTATAAACAAAATTCTCTTTACCTTTTTTTATAGTTAAATTGTTTCTTTAAAGAAAATATTCCATGCTCTAAAGTCCTCAGTTAAATCGACCTCCTGCCTTGCTATAAACCAGTTCATTTCAAGCAAACCAGCAACTATGTTGCTTGGTTACAAATCACCAACTGTCTTCTAAGGTTGTAAACAGCAGGTTTCCTAGTCTCTCTGACAACACATCATTCCCCATGAAGTCTTTATCTGTTTTATCTATGGCATTGCAACGAGAAGTTTTGGTCCTGCTTTTTTTTTTTCTTTTTGCTGGACTCGTACACACATTCTCTGTATTGTGTCTTGTCCATTGTGTTTGGTGCAATCCTATTCTGTAGCTGCTTCTGCTGTGAGCCCCATCTGAGTCACTCGGGTATGTTGCTGTGAGTGAGGATTGTCTTCCTGCTGGAGAATTTCAGGAACCAGTGAATCGTCACTAACCAAACAGAATAAAATTCTTAGCGTGAGAGATCTTTGCCATGAGTATGAACTGCTGCCAGGGAGGGCAATTTTAATTGAAATAGGAAAAGTAAGAATGTCTGGCATGCCAGAATGCTAATTTTGATGTGTGAACTCAAGTCCTAATCTTACAAATATCCCAACTATTAACTTTTATTAGCCTTACAACTCTCCCAGCTATTCAGATTCCTTGGCTTTTGGTTCCAATGCAAGTACTCAGAACATCACACAAGAAAGCTGCATAGTCTTCAGCACAATCTTTTGATGAGTCCTTTTAACTAACACAAATGTTCAGTCTTGTGGAGAGCTGGCTTTCTTTTATTTATGCTGCAAGGATGTCAATGATTGACATTGTTCAGGTAATAGTGATCAAAACCTTGTTACCTGTGTTCTCAAGAGTCCCATTTACATCTCTGTTATGGATCTGCAAGAAAGTTTTGAGCATGAATACAGTGATGATTCAAAGGAAAAAAAAAAAAAAAAATCCCTTCACGGCAACCAAACAAAACCCTACGAAAGGGACCCAGGGATATAAAATGACTGGAAACATGTGAAACCGTAACAGCAGCACTTCAGTACTAGTACAAGATCTCTGAGAAAAACAGAGAGGGAAGGACAAAAAGAGCAAATGCTATGCTTAAATAAGCCAGTTCATGTAAAGCAGTGGCATCCTCAGACCTCTGTCCATTCAAAAACTACAGGCTTTTGAAGATATTCAGGAATATCTGGGTAATTTGTGAAAAAAAAAAACCCACAAAACCGAAAACCAGACATATTTGAAAATTGTGCAGGCTCTGCACTTCTGGTTCCCAGAGGGATATGGAAGAAAGCCTGAAATCCCTGGAGAGAGACTGTTTTTCTCACAAGGGGAAGCAGAGTAGAGCAGGTGCTGGTTCTGCCATGACTTCTACATGATACTAGGCAGAATTTTTTTCATTTTTCTGAGCACCAGGCTCCCCTATACTAAAAGTCAATGATACATTTCCTCCCTTTTAAAATCATTTTGATAAGTCTTATGTATCTTATTGTTGCTGGGCCAGCCAAATAAAATCCAGGAAATACTGAAATCCTGAAACCCCCTTGAAATTAAGTTCTGATGCTTCTTGACCACTTTTAAAACGCAGATTTTTCGGACAGACTTCAGATAAGCTTCTGAATTCTGGACAGTTAAGCTGAACTCACAACATTCAAAGATTTGTCCATTATAAGAGTAGCACATTTACCATGGTTTCTTCCAGAAAGGAAGGAAAAAAATCCACCCAAAGATTACACCTCTGATTTCGCACATCAAGCAGCACAAATATTAACATCATGAATGCTGGCATCTGTGGCTACTCCTTGCTAGCTACACGATGGCGGCAGGAGCTGAACAGACGGTCACAGTCAGTGGGCCAAATCCCCGTCTTGGTCAGCTCAGCGGGAGCTTTGCTATGGGCTTGAGGGGTATCTGGATGAGATTCAGGGTTCAACTTCTGCTGTAAATGTCCATAGAGGAAGAGCTCAAATGCTCACATGGGAACATCTGCTCTCTAAAGCCATTTGAAAAGTAAATAACTATGTAATAACTTGGCACAGGGTTGTTCCCAATGTGGAGAAGACCACCCTTGTAGATCTGGAAGGGGGACTTTTTGCTTTTTTTGAAGCAAAAGAAAGCTGGGACTGATTAAACCAAAGGTCCTTCTAATCCATTATTCTGCTTCTTGAAAGCTCCAAGTACCAAAGGCACCAGAGCAAGGTGTAAAATCTTTATAATTAAAAAATGCACATTAGCATGCCTAGATGGGAAACATCATTCCTAGCCCCAGGAAGTTAATGGGTAGTTTCTGCCTTTGTGCCTGCATGGCTTATTTTGCACTAACATAACTGCAAATACTCCTGTTATTCATATAAATATTTTGGGGTTTTAATCACCCTTCTCAGCCTATTGAGAGTTCTGGAAGTTGATTGTACATGGTATACAGTATAAATTTCCTTTTACCAATTTCAGCTCTGTTACTGTTTAGTTTCATTGACAGGCTTTATTTCTCACAGACTTTGGGAAGGAGTGAATAGTATATATTTCATCATAAAACTGTATGTTAGAAAAAAAATTCTGCTTTGCTTTTACTGCTTATGTGCATGTGTCTGTAATGGGTTTGTGCAGTACATCAAAGGTAGAAGAATTTCCTCTGCTTGCTGGAAAGATCAGCTGACGTGCAATTCTGTTCAGGTACAGGATGCTAGCTATGGTTATGGCCTTCTCCAAGCCTGCATATCTAGCCCTTGTGTAGACATCTGTTGACATTTCTGGACTCTTTTCAGCACTGCTGAATGCATCAGTCTCTGGATGCTGGGGCATGCATTGCAAATCACACTTCAAATTATTACAGCAACAGCTGCAATAAGGCGACTTGTAATTTACAAATTGTTTTTAGTTGTTGAGATTACATAGTCATTCAGTAACTTTTAGGAGGTATAGTCCTGACACTCTCTTTGTGAGCTGATTTCTTCTCTTTAAATCACACTGACACAAAAGGAAATAAGGGAGAGTGTGGAAAGCTGCAGGCATTGTCAGCTGCTGCAATGGGGAATCTTTGAC